TCACCTTATATTAATTTCATCTAGATTGCATTTCCCTAGCTTGTTTGTTGGAGTGTTGTGGATCTGTGTCCAAAAGCCTTTCTAAATCAAGGTACTTGTGTGCTGCTATACCTAGCAGCAAAGAGCAAAGTGGCATTGCCACTCTTGCTGAGCCCCAAATTTGACTGACCTTCTTTTTCTTTTGTTCAAAGTTCATGTGATTGTCAACTTTTGCATGCTTCTGGTTTTTTCTTTAAAGGCAATTCAGTGTCTGTAATCCTGCACATATGAGCAGCTGTATGATTTAAAAAATCCTAGTGTATATAAACATGAATAACTATATACCACGTTTATATACACATACACCTGCACACATCAATAACAGATTTCAGTTTCCAGTGATTTTTTATGAACAATGGAGAGTTCTTTAATGTCCCTTTACTTTGAACTTCCTTGCTTTCATTAGCTCCTGTCAGAACCTTAAGGACTTTGTCCTCTGAATATAATATGTGCTAAGTATTTCAACAGCGGAGACATGAAATGAATGCACAAAAATCTAGTTTGTGCCCCCTTCACTATTTTAGTCTAAAAGCGACAGCATGAATGCATCATTAAGTGACTGGACTGGGCAATCAGAGTGAGTCTCTTCTCTGTGCATTACGGTACAAGGGTTGGCCCTCATCTGGTCCACCTGCCACTGGGGTTTAAAGTTTCAGCCCATCGGGAAATACAATGACTTGGATCAAACTGCCTGGAGGGAAAGCCTGATTATATCAGGGAAGTGGATAAACAGTAGCTATATTGGGAGACCACGGAGAGACATCTCCGTAGGCGCGCACATGACAGGCTGTAAGCTGCTCAGCGTGTCTCCTAGAAGCCCAGGACACTAAGGAAGCAGCAGACACATGACTACATGGGGGGAGAAAAAACAGCCAGGAGTCTGCTGTATCTGGTCTTGGCTCCTTCCAGAAGGACAGATCCTATGCAATGAACAGCCCGGCGCAATTCACCAGCTAACGCCACAAAAGCAGCAAGCATAAGGAGGAAGGGAGCAGCCTCTCTGCTGGGCAAATCGGTTTTTTGTTTTTTGTTTTTTTGCTTCCGAAACAATTTCTTGCTTTGCGGCTGGTGACAGCGTGCGCGTCCGGGGACAAGGGGAGGGCGAGAGACAGAAGTGGTTTGCAAATCAAACAATGCTGCGGGCGACCAGCTACTCCTCATGTCTCCTGCCAGTCACCTGTCTGGCTTGTCCGCCCCTCGCGGTGCTGCTGCGGTGGATCACAGAGACGCTGCTGGCATGGAGAGGTTGGTGAGCCCGGGCCACTGCGGCTAGTGCTGGCTCGTCCGCTGCGCCTTGCACCGCCCTCAGTCCGGAAAGCCTCGCTGCGGACCAGCCATGGAAGAGGGCCCCCTGCCAGACCTGCGAGACATCGAGCTGAAGCTGGGGCGCAAAGTGCCCGAGAGCCTGGCGCGCTCCCTGCGCGGGGAGGAGCCCGCTGCCCGGGACCGGAGCGGCGGAGGGGGCAGCGGCTTCTGCCCTGCTTCAGCCCCTGGGGCCTCCCGGCTCAGCAGCAGCGCCAGTGCCCTGGCGAGACTGGAGACCAAACTTCACCTCCTCAAGCAGGAGATGGTGAGTCTGGCACCGCGCCCGGGGGTGCGCGCCGCGCACAGCGGGAGGGGGAGCGGACGGCTGGAGCCCTCTTCACCCTGCTGCTGCAGCTCCGCGTCCGGCCCGCGTCTCTCTGCCCCGTGCGAGCGGCTGGCAAACTAACCCGCGCTGCCCACCCTGGACTTTGCTCGGTCACCATTCCCTTTTCGGCAGCCCTCTGCCAGCGCCTGCGAGAGTGCGCAGTGTGCGAGGGGGCCACTCAGTGTCCCCTTCCTCACCTCTGCTGCCAAGCGGGGGGGAGAGATCCGTGTGGAATCGCTGTATTGCACACAGATGGGTGGCGCTGTGAGTGGATTATGGACGGCGCTAAATAATGCGTGTTCCCTTGGTGGCCCCCGACATACTTTACAGTTAAGACTTAACTAACTGACAACTCATGTCCCTGCCCTGTTGCCCCTTCAATTCTCGTAAACAAATACAATCTGGTATGATCTACTCCACATACTTTGCTGAACCTCCCCACCCCCCAACAGTATTTCCTGGTAGGGAGAAGTGCTGCTGATCTCTAGGCCCCTGTGCAATTAATTTCCATCACTGCCCACCCACACAAAACCAATTCTGTTCTGGCTAGGCCAAAGGAGAGCGCTAAATACATCCCCCACTTCCTTTCTAGAAAGGGAGCCACTAATATCTTTCCATTGGAAGCTTTAGCAAGGTCTAGCCACTCCCTTTACACACTTCATTGCTGGTTTCCTAATTCTATGTGAATATGGCCCCTTATGGAACCATAGCGATAGACTCAAGGTGCTCAGTCTATTTAGTTTAACAAAAAAAAGGTTAAGGGTTGACTTGATTACAGTCTATAAGTACCTATATGCAGACCAGATATTTAATAATGGGTTCTTCCATCTAGCACAGACCCGTATAACCCAATCCAATGGCTGGAAGTTGAAACTAGTGGCAATAAGGCATACATTTTTAAAGGTGGGAGTAATTAATCATTGGAACAATGCACCAAGGGATGTGGGTTCTCCATCACTGATGATTCTTGACTCAAGATAAGCTTTTTTTCCTCTCAAAGATATGCTCTAGGAATTATTTGGGGAAAGTTCTATGGCCTGTGCTGTACAGATCAGACTAGGTGACCACAGTGATCCCATCTGGCTTTAGAATCTAGGAAAAGATCATATATAACAAAAGTTGCTATAATCCATGCACAGTCAAAGCAACTCCTACCTCCATGCTGTGATCACAATTGCATAATGTCACCAAAGTGGCAGTGAGCAGGTTGCTCACCTGCTAAAGAGGCTTTCCATCTGCATGACTTTCAGGATATATGTACCTCATACTGTTAGCTGGCAGAATGAAGAAAACTGACAGCCAGTGGTATTTAGCTAGATTTTACTCCTCCACATGATAACTTCTGATGTCTAGGATATGATAGCATATTGTTAAACATTTAAGATAATGCCCTGGATTCAATGTATTGTAAATCTATACAAATACTCCATTTTAATATGACTTATACTTTTCTAAAAGGATGTGAAGTCTTTAATCCTAAAAATTGTCCTGCCATCAGTCATTCAGTTTATAAGACTAAACTTCCAAGATCTGTTTATTTCTAAATTGAGTATACTGGAATCTCTGTATGCTTCCATAAAAAACACCATTTATAATTTGGCAGAGTGGCTGTTTGTCTGTGGTCTGCCATTGGACCATGCAATATTCATATTTTAACTCAACTCTTATTCAAATGGTCCAGCTATATTACGCTAGGTGTTGTGTACTGGGTTAAGTCTGTTTTTCTTTAGAAGACCAACTCTGTTAAGCAAGTGATTTTGTTTTTTTTAAGTAAAAATGCAGGTTTCACTTAAAATAGGCTGTCCCACCATGACATTCACAGTGAGCACCTAGTGAGCAGCATGCATTATCGCTAGTAGCCAGATTCTGATCTCTGTTACAGCAATGTAAGTGCAGAGTAACTCAGAAGTGTGTAGACAGCCAGTATTAAGGGAACCTGGCTTTACCGGCATATGAAAATACAGGTCTGTCGCAGCTTACGCGCATTTAACATGCGCGATTTCAGCTTTACGCAGTTGGCAAAAACAACTTAATGTAATTTTGACTATACGCGGTTTTCGCTTTACGCGCTAACCGCAGAACAGAACCCCCACGTAAGATGAGACTCGCCTGTAGTACCAATAAATTTTGTAGTAACTCTCTATAGCACTTCTCATAGAGCTTTTAATGTAAACTCTGTAGTAGCCGATAGTGTGGTGTGATATGAAGGCTTTGCGGGCTCTCATTTGGGATGAGCTGCATAAATAACTTGGGGCTCTGCTACTCATGAGCAAGACTACGTTTCAGTCATGCGTATTTTTAGTCATGGGCAGTAAACAAAAATTCATGGCCCTGTGACCAGTCCATGACTTGTACTATATACCCCTGACTAAATCTTGGGGGGGAGGGGGAGTGGCCTGTGGGTGCCGCATGTGCTCGGGGGGGGGTGTGCTATGGCCGGGGGGTGCTGTGGGTGAAGCAGCCTGTGACCCCCGCTGGTGCTGGGGGGAACGGGAAGGGGGGCAGTGGTGAGCAGCCCAGGACCCCTCCTGGTGCTGGGGGGCGTGGCGGGGCTGGCAGGCTCCCTACCTGGCTCCTCGCGGCTCCCCCCAGGCAGAGGCATGGCCAGATGGCTCTGCGCACTGTCTCCGCCCCAAATGCTAGCTCTGCAGCTTTCGCTGACCATGAACCATGGCCAACGGGAGCTGCGGGGGCGGTGCCTATGGGTAGAGGCAGTACGTGGAGCTAGGAGTTGAGGGATGTTGCTGCTTCTGGGGAACCCCCTGAGGTAAGCACCGCCCAGAGCCCTCACCCCCTCCTGGACCCCAACTCCCAGCCCTGAGCATCCTCCCACACCAAAACTCCTGTTGCTGCTGAGGGAGAGGGGCATGGTGGCCCAAGATTGTCCCAGCAGTGAGCAGTGCAGCTGGCCCAAGGGATGCCCAAGATGCTCAGGCGGCCCCTGGGCCAGCCACACTGGCCACTGCAGAAATCACAAAGGTGATGGAAAGTCACGGAATCCATGGCTTCCGTGACCTCCATGACAAACTCGCAGCCTTACCCTTACTCATGGGTAACATCCCAGTCTCAAACTTACGCTGGTACTACTTTTATAATACACCACATTGTATGCTTTTTGTATGTAGTACACATGGATGGGGGTGGGATCGAAGGAAGAATCTGGTTTGGGGAGGAAAAAACAAGTTGAATTTTCAACTAAGATGTCTATTTTGTAGCCTGACAACCTAAATTTTAAGAATGGCCATTTCATATCTAGAGCTATCACTCTTGTTTTCATACTGGATTGAATATAGTTTATAAGAAGTATTCGCCTAAACCAGTCTTGATACTTACTGTATGATACTCTATGAAGGTAATGGTGTCAGATTTGTTATGTGGCACTTCAAGCTGCAAGCCAAAGTTTCAGTCTAGAACAGCACAGTTATGGAGTGATGCATGTGCTGTGTTAGAGCAAGATAAAGTGATGAGTAGGTTACAGAGAACAGAGGAAACTAATTTGCATTAGTGAGTGCTGGTGCATGGCTATGAAAATACTCCTGCCTAGTAGCATGAATAGGGCCAGATGGGGGGGGGGGGATACAATGTGACCATCCCCTTCCCCTCCTCCCCTGTCATACAGGGATGCTGGAACAGTTTGTATAATGGGAGTGCTGAGAGCCATTGAACCAAACTGTAAATCCTGTAAATAATGGAAACCACTTCAAGCCAGGGGGTGCAGCAGGAACCCCTAGTTCCAGCACCTATTCTCAGGGCCGGCTCCTGCCTATTCTGTCACAAACATACACAGGGTTCTCCTTCTCTAACCCCGCTGCTTGTCCACTGACCCCCATCCAATCCCCTCCCCTGCTCTCTCTCTTGTGCCTGCTCTCATTCCCTCTAATTCTTCTGCTTCACCTCTCACTCTCCTGACTCTTTCCCCTCAAAATACAAACATGCTTTAATCTCTACCCTTAAAAAAAAAAAGATTGACCCCTCTTGCCTCTTCTGTTACTGCCCATCACCCCTTCATCTCTACATTCATTGAATATGCTGTCTGCAATCATTGTCAGGAGTTCCTCTCCTCCAGTTCCATCCTGGACTCTCTCCAATCCAGGGCCATAGCATCCACTGAAGCCACTCTCACCAAAGTCTGTAATGACTGTTTCCTAGCCGAAGTCAGAACCCTGTCAGCTGCCTTTGACACAATTGACCATGCTCCTCTTTTTGAAATTTTGGCCTCCCTTGCCTTCCATGACTGTCCTCTCTTTGTTCTTCTCCAACCTCTCTAATCATGCCTTCAGTGTTGTGGCATACTGGCATGAAATGGCCCATTTACGTCCCTGTATAATGTCTCCTTGGAGGCTCTCTGTAGTTTTGTATAAAGCATATTGAATTCTAAGATTATTCTTATAAGGTAACATAAAAAGAGAACTTTCCTTGTTACATTGCTGGTTCAAATCCATCCCAAGTCAGTACTAAACAAAGTTATTACAATCGCTGATCAGTGGCTTCTGGTGATCTCAGTCCCCTTCTTAGTGAACCAGTGTAATCTTTGTAAATTGATTATTGTTGACACTCTAGGAAAAGTGGCCAAGGATTGGTTAAGGCCATGGGCAAAGAGTTGTTTTCTCACACACTAGAGGTAGCCTGTGCTGATCAGAGTTGAGGCACATTGGTGAGAGTGTGAGGAAGCTTGCATTACTGATGTCCATGAGTCACCTGCTCTGTTAATTGGAGGGCTTTGATCTCCAGGACTGTGAAGACTTTTCCCTCTACATCATTCACTAAAAGAAAATATTGTTTAGGGAACATCCATCACCACAGTAGGAATCCATGTACTCTATACACAAATGATCTAGGGGGTAAATGAAAGGATCTGTGTTCAGGAGATCAAAATGAAGGGCAGAGCCAGGCACAAAATACTAACTTGGCACCTTTTAACTCTTGATTATTCAGCCTTC